GTGAGCTCCAAGGGCATGGAGGATGCCCGTCAGGGAGCGCCACAGCTCCCGGACCACAAGCGTGCTTGTGCCGATCGCCGCGGCTCCGGATCCTGCGTGCAAGTGTCGCCGCAGTGCACGGACAGCCTCACCAAGCTGTCCCGCGGCAGCAGCGCCTCCCTCCGCGGGCGCAGCCAGCACGGGCGCCAGCAACTCCGCGAGCTGGTCAGCTGCGTCGAGGCACGGGTCATGCAGGTGGCTGCGAAAGGACTCGGGCGGGACAGCAGGGAGAGACGAGTGTGCAAGCACTTGAATCAGAAGCAAAGCATGCAGGCTCTCCGCGAGATGGTGAAGCTGACCAAGCGTTGTCTCAGGAACGCGCGTCTGCGGAGGCAGCAGAGCCGCCGCCAGGAACCGGAGGGACTCATCAGCTGCGTACGGAGCCGCAGCCGCGCCACTACCGCCGCCACGAACTCTACCCCTGCGACAGGCGGAACAGGTGGCAGATGCAGGCAGGAGCCGGTCGCCGGCGCCGCAACAGAAGGAGAAGGAACGGACGGGGCAGGGACAAGAGGAGGAGGAGCAACAGCCGGCGGAGGGGCTACAGGATGCACAGGCGAACGAGGAGCAACGGGCTCCGGAGCAGCCTGCCGCGAACTGCTCTGGCTCGGCGCTGCCCTCCCCTGACGTACGGCGCGCGACACCTCCCGCGACACCTCGCGCTGGAGGTCCGCCAGCGTCACGGGCGGCCGATACCACCCGTCTCCACCGCGCCCCGGGGGGCCCCGCCATCCCCCACTGCCACCTGGGTGCGTTGGCCACTGGGCCTGCTGCTGGTAGCGCCGGGGGGAGTTCCGCCGGCGCCGAGACGTCTCGCGCTCCTGCTGGGGCGCTGGAGAATGGGGCCGGGACAAGCGGCGGTCAGGCGACGGGGGACGAGACGGCGGAACAACCGGAGCCGCCGGCGGTGGAACGGGAGGAGACTGATCCGCGCTCGGAAGAGCAACCACCGAGGGCGGGCCGCCAGTGGTGGCGGACACCGCAAGCGGCGAAGAAGCAGACGCCAGCGCCGGCACGCCGGGGACAGCACCGGCAGGTGCAGCTGGAACGCCAGGCACAGGGACAGGATGAGCGGCGACCTCTCCGGCAGGAGCAGATGCCGCCAGCGGCACGGCAGGAACAGGGAGAACAGGCGGAGCGGGCACGACAGGCGGAGCGGGAGGAGCAACCATCGGCGCAGAGGGCTCAACCCCGTTCACGACAAGAGGGCGTGCGGATTCGAGGGGAGGAGTCTTTTCAGCGGCTACTAGGCCGGGCGGCGGAACAGACAGCGGCGGGGAGCCCGTCGCCTCGGTCCTCGCTCCTGAGGCAGACAACGGCCTTACGAGTACAACCGACGCAGCGCCAGCGTGCATTGGCGAATAATCGGTCACAACAGCAATCACCATCGCGAGGACAGGGAGCACGAGGCGATGGGCGAGCAGCAGTTAGCGGTCGAGGAGGGGGGCCAGAGAATGGCTATCAGAGGGAGGCCAGAAGGGCTTTAACTAGGCTACTTAATGACGAAGAAGGAAATGACCCCTCTTATAGAGAAGAGCCAACCCCATTGAGTGAGGACGAAGGGACAGAAGCAGAGGAAGGGGTAGAGGAGAATGGGAGAAGGACGGGAGCGAGACCAAGGCGGTCCTTAGGAGAGGGAAGGACCACCGCGGCTGGACCGTTCGATGGCAATCGTACGGGCGAAATTCCAACCGCACCATCACAAGGGAGGCCGGGCCGCACCGGGAGAAATCGGGCCGCGATGGCAGCGGCAGCGGTGCGAGACAATCCCAATCCCCCGCGCTATTTTACGCCAGAGGAGTTGGCGACGCGAGCAGATCTGTTCGCTGGCGTCGCGAACTGGGATATCCCAGCCCTCTGCGATAGTCGACAACCATCCCTGGCAAGGCGGTTACCGCCCAATTTGTGCCAGTTGTTTTCGCTGGCGCTGCTAACCCCGTTACTCAACCTGTCACGAAACCCGGAAGGAGAGGCAGGTTGGCGCCTACTCCTATTTCTGCCACGTCTGACGCTTCGCCAGACCTCGCCACGGAAACCAAACTGGCCCCAGATCAAGGCCCGGCTCCGAGCCTTCCAACGTGGCGAGTGGGGTCAACTGTACCAGGATGCGATCGAAGCAGTCAACACTCCCACGCCTCCACGTCACCAGCCCGACGCAACCGGGGTCATCAGCCGGGCCGAGGGCCTGGCGAAACGGGGTAGCCTGCGACGCGCTGTGCTGGCGTTGGAGTCAACGCCAGTCTGCACCCCAACTCCGGAAATTCTGGTAGAGCTTCGACAGAAACACCCGCCAGCCGAATCAGGGGAGACGACGTGGCCACCCTCGCCTGAGTCAAAATTGTCCATCACCCAGGCTGACTTTGCCAAACTGTTGGGGAGGTGTGAAAATGGGGTCGGTGCCGGGCCTTCGGGAACGACATTCGAACACATGCGCGACGCGGCAATCACGAATGGACGAGTTAGCACCCATCTGCACGCCTTGGTTAACACCATTTTGGGGGGCAACCTTCCAGCACCGGTGTCGGACCTACTGACAGCTTCACGGCTCATTGCCCTGGCCAAACCTGGTGGGGGGGCTCGACCTATCGCCATTGGCGAATGTATCACGCGGCTGACTGCCAAAGCAGCCCTCGCAGCCATGGGAGAGGCCGCGCGGGCCTTTTTCCTGCCTCTACAGTATGGCGTAGCTGTGCCTGGAGGAGCCGAGGCAGTCATCCACGTGGCACGGGCGTATCTGGACAAGCTTCCCAACAGCCTCGTGCTGCAAACTGACATCTCAAATGCATTCATCAGCATTTCACGGCAAGCTATCGCGACAGCGTTACAAGGACCGGAGTTGTCGCCACTACTGCCGCTGGTGAAACTGACATACGGTAACCCGTCGAAATTATTCGTCGACGCGAATTTCGGATCGGACCCACTGATCAGCGAACGGGGCGTGCGCCAAGGGGACCCACTTGGCCCACTACTGTTTGCGGCGGGAATGCTCACTGCACTCCGCGACACTGCTGCAGCACACCCCCAGGTGCTGTGTCTGGCATACGCTGACGACGTCACATTCCTGGGGGAGGCGACGGCTACTGTAGCAGCCTTCAATCATTTCACCGAGAAGCTGGCACACCTGGGATTACGACATAATGCGCAGAAATGCGCAGCCTGGAGCAGAGAAGCAGCAGTAAAGGATCGGTTGCCGCACGGCGTACCATTCTCCCAGGAAGGTGTTCGCTTGCTCGGAAGCTTCGTGGGGCCTGACAGAGGGGCGTCACAGTTCCTGTCGGGTCAGCTGCAGGAGATGGCCAAACCTCTGCCACTGCTTGAGAAAGCCGACCCGCAGGTAGCCTCGTTATTGCTCAACCGCTGCATTTCGAGGCGCGTGGCATATCTTACCAGAACAACACCGCTTTCCCTTTTGCCACGAGAGACCTGGAGCCAGTGGGGGACAGACCTGCTAGCGGCACTACTCACAGCATGCCACCTTCGCGTCCCCACCTGCCGTTCCGAGCAAGCACGTGTCTGGGCGCAGGCGTCTTTGCCGCCGTCTTTGGGAGGGATAGGCATCACTAACCCGCTGGTCGAGGGTGTTTTCGGGTTCGCCGCGAGCTTCACGCAGGCGGCGCTTTTCATCGCATCACTAGACGGCGCCCCTGAGGGCGCGCTGGCGCAGGCGCGGGACCACATGCAGTTGCCCGCTGACACCACCACGCCCCTTCACACGTGGCTGTCGGAGTGTGAAGCAGCGTTACCCGACGATGCGCGAGAAGTCCTGGAGAAAGAACGGCTGGAGCGAACTGATTTGAGGCTCCAGCACGCATTGGCGCTAAGGGTGCATGGGAGTAGATATGCGGCGCAGGTGCAGGCGACGAGGGAGATGGCGGTGAACCCCTTGTGCGGACATACGCAGCGGATGTACTCAATGGCGGGGTACGGGACTGGGGATTGGCTGACCGCTATCCCGATTGCGGCCAACAGGAGGATAGGGCCCACTCACTTTTCCAATGCCGTACGTTTCCGGCTGGCCCTCCCCTTCTCCACGCCGAAGAATTGCGACTGTGCGGATCACACGGAGATCACGGACCCCCGCCTCCCGAACCACCTTCTCCGCTGCGGCACAGGCAAGCATCGCATCAACACCCACAACGAGCTGCGCGATGCCTGCATCAGCATGGCCCAGGACGCGGGTTTCATCGTTCACAGCGAGTCCTCAGCGCACTGCCCCGTTGAGGTACAGACGGCCGACTTTACAATGACAGACAGGAGCAGTGGGGCCGTCTATGTATGTGACGTCACCATCACCGACCCCATTAGCACAAGGGATCCGGAGGCACAGAAGGGCAGGGGCTGGGCGGCCCGGGAGCAAGCGGACAAGAAAATCCAGCACTACGCCTCCCTACCAGAGACGGTGACCTTCTTCCCCCTGGCTGTGGACACCTATGGCTGCCCGTGTGCGGAGGTACCAGCCTTTTTGAAGCTCTTAGCGGACACTGCAGCTCGGCGGCACTTCAACGCCGACTCTAAATCGTTCTATGCTGCAAAGTTCCTGCACCAGTTCAGGCAACGCTGGTCTGTGGCCCTGCAAAGGGCCCAATCTGTAGGCCTCCTGCTCAAGCTTGGGGAGGCGGCGGCGGTTGAGAACCCGCCGGTGGGAGGAATTGGGGATGAGTTGCATCTAGGGGACTGCTTTGCAGTGATTGAGCCCCTCGTAGAGTTGTAGATCGGCGATGTTTGCAACCAGCATGCTTGTTACCTAGGCCACTATAACTTGCCTGCCTGTACTTGACTGCTATATCAATAAAAGGACCATTAGAGAGAGAGAGAGAGAGAGAGAGAGAGAGAGAGAGAAAGAGAGAGAGAGAGAGAGAGAGAGAGAGAGAGAGAGAGAGAGAGAGAGAGAGAGAGAGAGAGAGAGAGAGCCACTAGCAGGGCAGAACAACGACACCACCCCCAGGCGAGGGAATCCCGCCATGGGGAAGCCCAAGGCGAGGGCCAGCACCACCGGAGCCTCCAAGGGAAAAACAACAGTCACTCGGCGAGGATCCAGCACAGCCTCCCGTCCATCCAACATAGGACGGAAGCGGCAGCTGACACAAGGCCGAGGGGGCCCTCCTGGGCAGACTCAGCTAGCCTCACCATTGCCCGGGGTCCGGGCCCGAGCGCTGCACCAGGGGCGCCCGGCACGAGGCCGATCAAGGGAAGATAGTGCAGCATCTCCGTCGCTGCAGCCACCGCCGCAGAGCGCTCAGCGGGCAACATCCCGTCAACCTCCAAGCCTTGTCATGCCAAACACACGTGGAGCTGGTCCAGTACGTACGACAGCAGCGTCAAACACGTCCCCACGTGCACAACACGCTGCTCGACGAGGGGAGGCAGCGCACCTGCAGGAGCGGCAGCAAGAGGAGCAGACGGGACAGGAGGGTTTGGCGGCGTTGGAGGAGGCGGCGGCTGACGCAGTTGAGGCCGGGGCAGAGGGGGATGTCGCTGCTGCGGGGTCAGGTTTGACGCAGCGGGGGGAGCAGGGTGCTGCGGTAGAGGCGGATCCGACGGGGACGGGGCGGGAGGCGCACTCGCCTGCTGCTGTGCGTGCAGCCGCCTCTGACGACGACTCAACCTCGCCCGCTGCGGGGCCGACGGCACCACCAGCGGACAAGGTTGTGGCTGCGGAGGAGGCGCATGTGGAGCATGGGTCGGCTGACTCACCAGCGCCATTGGTGGCGGTGTCCCCATCACCTCTCGGGGAGGTGGAGATTGCGGCGGTCGCAGCTGAGGCAGCGAGGCAACCAGAACAACCCCTGAACGAACCGTTTGCACCAACTGCCGCTGAGTCCGCTGGAATGTCTACTGCTGCCGCGGCCGTAAACATGCGGGAGTGCGGCCAGGCAGCGGATGGAATTGAGGGTCCCGTGATCGGCGTCGCTTCTGGCATCGCACAGGCAAGGAAGAAGGTGAAGCTACGCGCCCAGCCAACGCCGAGGCGGCCCGGAGCAGGGCTGGGGCCTGGGGTCCCGGGACCCCTCCTGGGCTGGCTTCCGCAAGGGCAGTCGCCACCAGAGCAAGCGCGTTTGTTGTCATCCGCACCACAGCCTGCAATGGGTACCGGCGGGAGGGGTAACACGGAGGCAGCTGACCGTGCACATCGGGGAACCGAGCAGCCAAGCAGGATGCAGCAACCACCGGAAGGATCGCCCACGACCCAGCAAGCAACTCACCGGGAAACACGTAGCTCGACGAGAGGCCGGGGAATTGTGTGGGGCAGGCCGTCGGGGGCAGGACGAGCGACAATGGCAACTCCCTGGGTGCCGGCCAGTCAGGGTTTAAGGTCTGCGCAGGAGAGCGCGAGAGGCGGCAGCGCTGGCGTACTCCCCGCGATCCCCCGTGGAGGCAGAGGGGGAAGAGGAGGGACACGCTGTAGGGGAGTTCCACTCCTGGGTGGCGAGGCTGCAATCGTGAGATCAGGCACGTGGCGTGATCGCCACGACCGCCCGGAGCGTACACCTATGCCTGTGTGTGTGAATGGGGGCGAGGAGGGTTCTGAAAACTCCCAGAACGGGAGCGAGTTTATCCCCTCGCACTCAGAGGCATCGGAGGATTTGGTCTCCCTGGGCGACGATGAGAACCAACATGTGTCGGCGCAGGGGCGAGTGAGGAGGACGGAGCAGGGTGGCATGCCACAACCACCCAACATGCCAGCAGGACAGGACCCAGCTGTGCCACCACCGCCATCCGAGAAATCGCCAATTGACCTGGCAAAGGATGAGTCTTTCTGGCACCTGGCCAGCACTTGGGACATCGCACCACTCCAGCGTGCGGATCAACCGTTCTTGGTGAGGCGGTTGCCCCCAAAGATTCTGGAGAGCTACACCCTGTGCCTTCTGGCCCCGCTGTTGCGATTAGGGTTGAAACCAGACTGTGTGGGGGCGTGGACGGTGCTGCAGTTTTTACCCCGCTTGACCCATCGACCTCTACCAGAGCCAGTGGACGGGAACCGCAGGATCAAGATTGAGACTCGGCTGCACCACTTCAGAATCGGGGATCTTGCCGATCTCTACAGTGAGGCATGCGCGATCCTCGATACTGAAGCCCCGTCACGACACCAGCCAGACGAGGCAGGCCTGTGCGCGCGAGCAGAAGGCTTGAAAAAGAAGGCCAACATTTCCAAGGCAGTGTCTGCGTTACAAGTGACCCCGCTGGCGGAACCAACACCTGCTACACTTGCAGCTTTACAGGCAAAACACCCTGTCGGGGAATTACCAATTCCGAGCTGGGTAACCAACCGCACCGGTGTACCTGCCTCGTCATTGAATCTGGCCCCATGCGATCTCCGCGAAGTGCTAGCGAAGTGCCCGAATGGAGTTGGAGCGGGCCCCTCTGGCACTTGTTTCGAGCACTTGAAGGACCCGGCCCACAGCAGCGAGCGAGTCCTACTGCTCCTCACAAAGGTCATCGGCCAGCTACTTAACAGTTCACAGACAAGGGAGATATGCGACGTGCTCCTCCCGTCATGGCTGATAGCACTCGAGAAGCCAGGGGGGGCGTTCGACCCATCGCTATAGGCGAGGCCTTGCTTAGAGTCGCGGCGAAGGCGGCGCTACGCGAGTTAGCCCCAGCGATCCGTGAATTCTTCCTCCCGGTCCAGTATGGCGTGTCAGTGCCTGGTGGCGCCGAATGCGTCATACATTTGGTACGGGCCCTGCTCCGAGAACATGACAACTACGTAGCACTCCAGCTGGACGCAGAAAACACGTTTAATTCGGTTGAGCGGGAGGCGTTCTTCACGGCGCTAGAAATCTCAGACTTGCACCAGCTGCTGCCGTTCGTAGGGCTGCTGTACGACTCGCCATCGCGCCTTCTAGTCAACCCGGCCCTAGGAGTTGAGCACATCTTGAGCTCCCGCGGCGTGCGTCAGGGCGATCCCCTCGGCCCTCTCCTTTTTGCAACAGCGATTCAACCGACCCTAACGTGCATGGCATCTTCTCATCCAGGGGCGGCAGTCATAGCGTACGTTGACGACATCACAGTGGTAGGGCCGCGGGAGGAGGTGTTCAAGGCCTTCGATGCCATCGTCGAAGAGCTGGTAAAGCGCGGGCTACGGTGCAACGTGGCATAGTCATCGGCATGGGGACCGCGAGAGGGAAACGAGGGGCAGTTGGGACTGCCACAGGGATTACGGATGAGCACCGGGGGGATCAAGGTGCTTGGCAGCCCCATCGGCACGCCAAAGTACTGCACTGCTGAGATCCGTCAGGCGCTCGCCAAAGCATCGGCACCTGTCCCTCTTATAGCGCAGCTGCACCCACAACACGCCCTGCTACTCCTCTCCTGTAGCATCTCCCGCAGGATCTCCTACCTGCTTCGCACCACACCAAGCATCACGTTGGACCGGGAGGAGTGGAGAGGGTGGAGCGAGTCGTTGGTAGGGGCGGCGCTTATAGCCGCCAAGCTACGGATCCCTGCGAGTGAGCTGGAACAGAGCCTCTTGTGGCGTCAAGCGACCCTGCCCGTGCGCCTTGGGGGGTTGAGCATCTTTGATCCCGTTTCTGAGGCACCGGCTGCGTATATTGCATCCCTGACAGCAGCGCATCACCTGCTGCAGCAGATGAACTTGCGGGAGCAGGAGCTGTTGGCATGGGCCGAGACGCTGCTGTCCAGAGATTGGGTCCCCCCGCCCCCAGCGTCAAAATATCTGGTGGCACTAGAGGACGGGCTGCCGATAGAGGCACGGACAGCACTACAAACCTACCGGGAAGGCCCCCAGGGGCAGGGTAACCTGCAGCTCCTCTTGTCCAAGCACATCAACTCGGTACGGGCCAGGGAGCTACTAGCCGACACTATGGTCGACAGACCGGGGGAAGACCAGGGGCACGGGGTACGGCTAGTGAGTTTGAAGGGAGTGGGGCCCGGGGATTGGCTTCACGCAGTGCCGACGAGATCTGACCTTACATTTGCCCCTGGTCAGTTCTCGTTGCCACTCGGTTTCCGCCTCGGGATGGCCCTACCAGTCACGGTCAAATGTCCCTGCAAACGTGACAACTCGGAAATCAAGGATACTAGCCTGGCGAATCACATGCTCCGGTGTGGGGAAGGGGGGGACGTGGTGAGGACGCATAACGCCCTGGTCTACATGGCTTTGAGATTGGCGAGGGAGGCGGGTTTCAACACCTTCCATGAGACATCGGTGTTTTCCCCCCCAGTCCACCGCAAGAGGGCAGACCTGGCGTTCCAGGATAGGGAATCAGCGGAGACCTGGGTCACGGATGTAACGGTGACCGACCCAGTGCTGCAGAAGCGGGACCCCAGGGTGCAGAAGCCACCGGGGTGGGCTGCCAAGGAAGCTTCCGAGAAGAAGCACCGCCTGTATGATGGCCGCCCTGACAATGTGGGGTGTTTCGGCCTAGCACCCGAGACCTACGGGGCGCTGGCGACCGATACTGTGCAGTTTCTTAGGCTGCTAGCTGTGGCCACAGCGAGGAAGAAATTCAGGCAGGGGCCGCTCACCACCACCGCCTCTCTCCTCAATGCTCACTACCGCCAACGCTGGTCAGTCATGCTGCAGCGATCCCAGGCGATCTCGTTCCTTAACAAGAGCAACATGGCAGCCGAGGCAGCCTTCCCCCAAGCACCTGCGGACCCCTGGGAGCCGAGCCTAGGAGACCTTTGGCAGGTGCTTGATGATGACCTTGCAGGAGTGTAAGCGCAGCCGGGGGTGAACCAGGGATGTAGGGTTGAACAGGAGGTTGTGAGGACCTAGGCAACTCAATTGGTAGCCCCAGGCCTGCCATGGCAGTGGCCACTTGGTGAACTTCCTTAGCATCTCATTGCTGGTCTTGTTTACATGCTGGTTTATCTGCCCTACATGTTGCCTACCTAGGTTAGCCTATCGGCCAGTGTCATATCCTGCATGCCTGTACCCTTTCACCAACATTAATGCATGACTGCTTGAGAGAGAGAGAGAGAGAGAGAGAGAGAGAGAGAGAGAGAGAGAGAGAGAGAGAGAGAGAGAGAGAGAGAGAGAGGCCCTAGGAGCTAGTCCTTAGCCTCTCCAGCACTCCTTAGCCTAGTATAAAGTGCTCCTCTGCAGCTAGCTCTCTTCATTGTTCGGTTCTCTTTTCAGTTGCTTCTCCTAACCGAGCGGGAGAGAGAGGAGAGAGAGAGAGAGAGGCCCTAGGAGCTAGTCCTTAGCCTCTCCAGCACTCCTTAGCCTAGTATAAAGTGCTCCTCTGCAGCTAGCTCTCTTCATTGTTCGGTTCTCTTTTCAGTTGCTTCTCCTAACCGAGCGGCTCGCGCCGGCCGCCTTCGGCGGCCCACGCTCGACAGCGCGGCCTTCGGCCGCGCGTGAGGGAACGACAAGCACACAACACACAGAGTTGCTCGCAAAAAGCATACATAATGGCAAGCCCTACAGCGGCCTAGCCGCGCAAACCACTAATGGCATAGCCGGAGCCCGCGTCTACATGCGGTGAGCTCCAAGGGCGTGAAGAACGCCCGTCAGGGAGCGCCACAGCTCCCGGACCACAAGCGTGCTTGCGCCGATCGCGGCGGCTCCAGACCCAGCACGCAAATGGCGCCGCAAGCCGCGCACAGCCTCATCAAGCGGCCCCGCCGCCGCAACGCCTCCCTCGGCGGGCGCAGCCAGCACGGGCGCCAGCAGCCCTGCAAGCTGATCGGCGGCGTCCAGACAAGACTCGCGGTGACGATCCAGGAACAAGTCAGGGGGGGCCGCAGGGAGGGACGAGTGAGCGAGAACCTGTATCAGAAGCAGAGCGTGAAAACTCTCTGCGAGACGGAAGAGCTGGCCGAGGGTCGCCTCTGGAACTCGGGCCTGAGGGGGTTGCAGCGCCTGCACAAGGAACTGGAACGGCTCCGCAACGGCAGGAGGAGCCGGGCCAACTGCCGTCACCGCTCCGCCTCCCACAGCCACAAATTCTACTCCTGCCACGGGCGGGACTGGCGGCAGATGCAACCGCGACCCTGGAACGGGAGCAGTCGCAGCAGCAGCGGGAAGCGATGGGGCCGGAACACGGGATTGGACGAGTGCAGCAGGGGGCGGAACCTCAAGAGGCGCCGCCTGACGCTGGGCGGCATGGGCGACGACAACGTGCGAGCTGCCTTGTGTCTGAGCAGCCCTCTCTTCACGCATCGCGGTCGTTACCGCACGTTGCAGATCCGCCATACTCACGGGCGAATCATACGACCCTCCCCCATTGCGACCACGAGAACCCCACCAGCCGTCGCGACCGCCACGGTGAGCTTGCCACTGACCCGACTGCTGATTGCGCCGGGGAGAATTCCGCCGGCGCCGGGAGGACGCCCGATCCTGTTGGGGCGCTGGAGAATGGGGGCGAGATAGGCGACGGTCCGGCGAGGGAGGACGTGACTGCGACGCTGGTTGCGTCGGCTGAGCCACGGGAGGCGCAACGGGAGCAGACGGGTCCAGTACAGGGGACACAATCAATTGCGCCGGGCCGCCAGTGGTGGCGGACGCCGGCTGCGGGGACGAGGCAGGCACAGAAGTCTGCGGCTCGGGGCCTGAAACCGGGGGCCCAACGGGAGCGGGAGCCGGGAGCGCAGCGTCAGACCCTGACGGCCTATCAAGTGGAGCCTGGGGAGCAGTTGGCGCGGACGAAGCGGATTTCCCAGCAGCAGCAAGAGCCACAGACTGAGCGGCAGCTGCGGCAAGGGGAGCCCCGGGTTCGGGGTGAGGAGGCTTTTCAGCGGATGTTGTCGAGGGCTTCGGAGCCGGAGGCACCGGGGGCTTCTTCACCGTGGTCGCCTTTCCGGTCTCAGACTGAGGCTTGGCGACCACTGCCGACCAGGCGGCAGCGCGCTCTGGGGACGGCTCGGGAGCTCCAGCAATCCCCATCACGAGGTCGGGCAGCACGGGAAGAGAGGAGGCAGGCGGTTAGCGGAACAGGCGGAGGGCCGGAGAATGGGTTTCAGGCTGCGGGACGTCGGGCTTTAATTGCTTTGGTAGCGGCTAATGCAGAAGGGGACAGAAATGACCCCTCTTATACTTCGGGAGCGGAGCTAGACAGTGAAAACGAGGACGAAAGCGATGGAGCGGAGGCAACGAGAGTAGGGACAGGGAGGAGAAGACCTGAGGCAGCCAATCTACCCACAGCGGGATCAGAAGGGCGTGCAGGGCCATTGGATGCCGATCGGACGGATGAGAATCCAACTCGGCAGCAGTTAACGCCACCGAGTCGCGCACGCAGACATCGAACCGCTTCCCTCCACCCAGTGTCAGGATTGGCCCCGCAGCGCCCGCGCTATTTTTCGCCAGTGGAGCTAGCGGAGATGGGGGATAAATTCGCCGACATAGCGAATTGGGACATTTCCGCCCTCTGCGACAGTCGCCAACCGCCGCTGTCAAGACGATTACCGCCTAACATGTGCCAGTTATTCTCGCTGGCACTCCTGACCCCGCTACTTCACCTCTCGCGAAACCCTGACTCCGAAGCGGGTTGGAAACTGCTTCTCTTCCTCCCGCGTCTGACCCTTCGCCAGGCTTCGCCAAAGCACCCAAATTGGCCACAAATCAAGGCCCGTCTTCGGGCATTCCAGCGAGGCGAGTGGTCACAGCTCTACCAGGAGGCGATAAACGCGGTCAACACCCCTCCGCCCCCACGTCACCAACCCGATGTGACAGGTGTCCTGAGTAGAGCCGAGGGGTTGGCGAAACGTGGCAATCTGCGTCGAGCAGTGTTGGCGCTTGAGTCAACACACGTCTGTACACCGAGCCCAGAAATTCTAGACGAACTGCGACAAAAACATCCACCGGCGGGAGATGAACAGCTGACCTGGCAATCAGCCGATGCTAGGCCCCTGTGCATTTCCCACGCAGAATTTGCGAAGCTCCTCGGGAGATGCGAGAATGGTGTCGGTGCCGGACCTTCTGGCACCACATTTGAGCACCTGCGCGATGCTGCAATAACCAATGCATCCGTCAGCACCCATCTGCACGCCCTCGTGAATACAATTCTGGGGGGCAACCTCCCAGCTTCGGTGGCGGACCTGCTTACAGCGTCCCGACTCATCGCCCTGGCCAAACCTGGGGGGGGGGGCCGACCAATTGCAATTGGAGAATGCCTGACTCGGCTGGCTGCCAAA